AAACTTAAATAGATCAGGCCAGTTTAAAACAAACTAAAAATGTTAAATCAATAATTTCATATGTGTTCCTTTCTCAAATATTAAATTAAAATAATTTAGAAGTTCTATTTTATTGCCACACGATGTAATTATCATTTCATTTGCTATATTTTAAATGTAGTAGAATCTAAAATATGAAAATAATATTAGATATTTATTAATTGTAGGGTTGATAAATTATTGTATTGCAGGGTTGTACCGTGTGGACGTTACAATCAATTTGTACGATGTATTTTGTCATTAGCTTGTACCTTAAAGCACTACATATGACTCATTACTCATATGAGAAAGAAAATTATCACGCTCGCTTATTAGTTTACTTATCTCATCTTATACCTAAAATTATCTTACACCTAAAAACAATATATATGAGAGATAAAAATTCACCTTCTCAAATTTTAGCCCGTTTATCTTATATACCTAAAAGAACTATATATGAGAATAATTTCATATGCGTCCCTTTCTCTTAAAATAATAAAAATTAAACTAAAATAATTTAGAACTTCTATTTTATTGGCACCCGATGTAATTATCATTTTCATTCGCTACATTTTAAAGGTAGTGGAATCTAAAAAATGAAAATAATATTAGATATTTTAGTTGTAGGGTTGATAAAATATTTTATTCCAGGGTTGTACCGTGTGGACGTTACAACCGGTTTGTACGATATATTTTGCCATTAGGTTATACCTAAAAGCACTACATATGACTTATATGAGAGAGAAAATTATCACGCTCGCTTATTAGTTTACTTATCTTACCTTATACGTAAAATCAATACATATGAGAGAGAAATTTCTCCCGCCCAACTATTACTCAACTTATTTTCGTCTCATACCTAAAATTATCTTACACCTAAAAACAATATATATGAGAGATAAAAATTCACCTGCTCATTTTTTCTTTTTATAGCTGAATGCTACGTGAAACCAAAAAACTAAATGTTACGTATGTAAGTAAATAACAAATTAAATATTGAACATATAGTATATGGAGAATTACATAGAACTGTACAAATAAGTAATTATATGAAGTATCAGTGTCATATAAAAGAAGAAAAGATAATAAAAAGTTACGGAGTATTAATTTGAATACTTTTTTGGAAACAGTAGAATGCAAAAAAAAAATAGAGAGAATTTTCTCATCTGAATTGGAGAGAATTTTTTTTTTATAGAGTTTCAAAAAAGTGAGAATTTTATCATCTAAATTGTCTATGTGTACGCTTTTATAATCACTTTGATATAATTTTAAACATAATTATAGTCACTAAAAATTAATAAGTCATATCATTATTCATTATTCATATTTTGTACATAAATTGGGAATTTTTTAGTTTTTTAATACGGAATATTCTGCATAGAGGATGGAAAATAGAAAGTTGCTTAATAAATCTTCAGATTTTGTTAAAAAAATTATGTATGCATTACTAGTGTCATATGAAAGATCGTGAAAAATTATGAATTTTGGTATATTTTTTTATAAAAATTGGAGAAAAACCGAAAAAGTTACGACACTTTAAAGAAATGGAATTTTTTATACAACGGGTCCAGTGTTCTAAAAGGCCCAATAAGGCGCCGCCTAGGCGGGCCTAAGTTCAAGGCGTAATCTAAACGCCCGGCATGCTCAATAGGCGAGACAAAAGGCGCCCAGCCCAATTAATTATCTGGGCACACCAGTTTACTAGGCTAAATTAGCCCAAGCAAGTGAGGTATGTAGACCACACACTGTCGGCTGCCAAATTTTGAAGAGAATGACTCCTACTTATTAGCTCTCACCGAAGATTTACTTTCATCCTCATCCGGTGTGGGAAAAATTAAGCTGAAGAAGGAAATAAATTTTAATTGAAAACTACTTGTGCTTCCTTAGACATTGAACCGAGCTACATAGTCCGTATATTATATAGACTTAAGTCACACATAAAACACAATCTATAAGTCCACACCATCAATTATGCATATTCCAAGTTTGATATGAAATTAGCAAAAAATTACGTAGTGCTCCGTATTATATAAACATCACTACTCTAAATCACTGCTACTCTTATTATGATGATCATTGTTATTATCATCAAAACCATCATTCCTATTATTACTAATATTATTGTATCACTATTATTTTTATGGTAATTAGCTGATATTAAGAGCCTGTTTGTTAACCATGATTTTTGGCTTTTCAGGCTTATCAACCAAATTTTTCACCAAACACATGACTTTTGATTTCACATGCTGAAATATGTAATAATAAGAAAAAAAATAAGAATGAAGTTACTTTTATGGCTATATTGGCTGAAGTTGTTGTAGATGACCATTTTAGCTATTTTTCATATACTTTTTCTTTAATTAATTAATAGAATATTTTTTCCCACAGGTCAACAGAAACAACCAATACAGCCACTTCAGTCAGAAATTCATAAATTTCAACAGAATCAACCAATGCACTTGATTTGGGTGTTACCAAACAGGTCTTAAATCATTATAAATAAAACAAGTTACGACAAGAAAAAAAATAATGACTCACTAATCGATAAATCAGATTCCGATTCAATCACTCATATAAAAGCAATATGACTCACTAATCAAACAATTATCATCCAAACATGATCGATTCAATTCTTTTACTCACTTGGACCTTAACCCTAATAACTAAGATAAAGCACTAAACCAGTACAAAATAATATAAAATAGTAATCATAAGACCTACCATAAAATGTAAGACTCAACCCTAAATCGCAAGACTCAACCAATACCCGTGGCAAAATTTAAAAAATGAGTAAAAATTCAAAACGCCTTTTCACGCCTAGGCGGCGCATAAACCTGCCTAGGCTTAAGGCTCGGCAATGCCGCCTCGGCCCGCCTTACGCCTTTTAGAACATTGAACGGGTCCCATTAATTAGTTGATGACACGGTTTTTTAATTTGAAATTCAAAAATCCTCGCCTTCGTTGATTAGCAATTAGTGTTGGTATATTCCGTTTAACTCCTTGAGTTGGCCACGTGGACTTTTGTAGAGCAAAGGAGAAAATTTTGGAGAGAAAGACACATAGGATTCATTAAGGATATAATTGTCATTTAATGAGCTATTTCTTTTCTTAGATATAAATAGATACTTATTCTTAAAGTAGGATTTATTTAGGGAGTGTTTGCGATTGCTTCAACTTTAAAAAAGTGATTTTTTAAAGTGATTTTGGGAAAAGTGATTAATAGTAAAAGTTGGTAGTGTTTGAGAAAAAAGTTATTCTGAAAAAGTAAAAGTTGGTAGTGTTTGGTAAAATAAGTACTTTTTGTGTAATAGAAAAAGTGAGAAGCAGTTTAAAGCACCCTTCTACCTGCTTCTAGCTTTTAGCTTTTAAGTGATTAATTTAAGCAGAAGCTATCATTTGAAAACACTCTTTTCAACTTTTTTAAGCCAAAAACTGAAAAGCGCTTTTTTTAATCAACCCCAAACACTCCTTTAATCCTGATAAGATAATTAACTTGTCATTTTAATAGTAAACAATCACATTTTAAGAAGAAAAATTTTAAGAAGAAAATAAGGATAATTCTATTTAAATAAATTTCTTAATTTTTATTTAGGATGATTTAGCTACTTAAATTTTACTAGAGGAAATGGTCAAAATGGTACACAAAGTTGTATCAACGGGAGTAAGTAGTACATCATCTTGTATTTGAAATTTTAAAGTACATTCTCTCTATCAGAACGTTAAAATAGCTGATCTAGACAAACTATCCTTTTGTATTATACAGGTGCACTCCAAGTCATTAAATAATTAATCTATAAATTCTATTTTCCTCCTGTCCACTCGTTTTCACCTTCACTTTTCATCTCATATTTTTCTTGTCTGCTCTCTCTTCTCTCCACTCTTCATCTTATATTTCTCCCGTCTGCTCTCCCTGCTATCCTATCGGCTTCTTCTTTTTGCTCTATTTTATTTTCTTCTTCTCTAGCTATAATAAAGATCGACCGATAGCAAATAAAAGAAGAAGCTGGTGGGATAGCAGGGAGAGAAGACGAAAGAGAAGGAGAGCAACACAGGCAGAGCTAGAGGGGGCCAACCTAGTCCCTTGCCCACCTCAAATTTAAAAAATGCTTTAATTTTAAAGTAAAAAAAATGTGTAGTTTTTTTAAAAAATATTCTTTGTACTGCTCCAGTTCGCCCCAGTGTCCTGACTCCGCACTAGGAGAGCAGACAAGAGAAATATAAGATGAAGAGCGAGAGAAGGGAGAGAAAATGTGAAATATATAAAATGAAGAACGAAGGTGGAAAGGAATGAACTGGAGGAAATTAGAGTTTATAGATTAATTTTTGGATTACTTGGACTGCAATGATATATTAAAAACTATTAGTTTGACCAGTTCAATTATTTTAACGTTCTGATAGAGCAAATGTACTTGATGGACTATAAAAATATAAGTTCAAGTACTTTTAAGTTTCAAATGTAAGATGAAGTACTACTTACTCCCATCGATACAACTTCATGTACCATTTTGACCATTTTCTCAATTTTATTATCGTAAAAAATCAGTCTGTTCCTCAATTTTGGTATTGGCGGTGGCATCTCCATTCTTAGTAGAGGTGTAAATGAGTCAAACCGCTTGCGAGATGCTCGTGGATCGCTCGGGAAAAGATTGACTCGAGTTCAGCCATTTTAAGTTCGACTCGACTTGAATAGTTAACAAGCTCAATTGAAACTTATTTATTTTAGGGTCGTGGCTCGCGAGCCTTTGTGTCATATTTTATACTAGTATATAATAATTATATATGTAATGATTATATATATACTTTTTTTGGAATATGTATCTAATTTAGGATCATTCCATTTTTAATACTTATCATTGAGTATATCATTATAGTAATAATTACAAATATAATATCATGTACATAGTTCTATTATTAAAATTATAATCTGTAATAATTATAATATGTACCCGTAATATTTCTGACAATAAGATAAAGAATAAAAATGTAGTAAAGGAGATATAACTAAAAATAACAATAAATAAATACACATTGTTGAGTTTAATCCAACACGATATAGTAAATATATGTATAAATGTGTATGAACAAGCTATTTTTACGTGGAAACCCGAAAGGGAGAAAACCACGGGACTTTTTAGGCTAATGTCCAAGCCCTCTCTTTCTCATTAGGACTCTCCTCACCATTACATAGTACAATTTGAGCTCCCCTTAATGGAGTATTGTAAGCTAGCTAGAGAGAAGGGAGAAGAATAAGCTAAGGAAAAGGGAATCAAAAAGGCTCCCTAAACATGGAGGGAAAACCTCCTATAAATAGGGAATAGGGGGAGGGAAGTACTCCACCCTAATGGGCCAAACGGGCCGATGTCGGGCCCAATGGCCAAAGCGGGCCAGAATGGGCCGAAACGGACCTAGCTGCTCGGGCTCCGTACTGGATAATGTCTTGGGCTCCTGAACAGTAATAGGCCGGGATAATATATCCCAACACAAGTCCCCCAGTTTCTTGAGTAGTGAGTGCGCGAATCTGCTCGAGAAAGTATATCCTTGCCTGCGCTCTGCCTCTGTCTAGCTGGAACCTGTGTCTTCGAATAATCATAACATATGAGTGGATGTCCACACTCCTGAACGTAACCTGCCGGTGAGACACCCCCCTTCCCGACGGGGTCGGGCGAAGGGTGCTCCTCCACGGGCACGCTCCCCCTGAATGCATCAGGCAAGAGTAAAGGACTCTGACTTGAGCTTTCCAACGGAGAAGCTCAGAGGTCCATGCATCTATAAACCGACGTCGCGGTACTGTCAAACATGACGCACGTGTGTATAAGTGTATGTATGAATGTATGAGGTATGATGCATGAATGCATGAATGCATGTAATGTATGGGTGCAATGTAAGAGAGAAGGAATGTGAGATGTGATAGAAAGCGGTGGCTCTCGTCGATAAACCGGGCATGTCAGCGCCGAGGGGCAGATGTGCTGCATAAGAGACGTTCGTCGCCATCCTAAAAGGGATGGGCGACCCTAACGTGAGCAAGACACGATGGCGCTGGGGCGCTGATCGTGCTGCATAAAGAAACGTTCGTCGCCATCCTGGAAGGGATGGGCGACCCTAACGTGAACCAGACACGATGGCGCTGGGGCGCTGATCGTGCCGCATAAGAGACGTTCGCCGCCATCCTGAAAGGGATGAGCGACCCTAACGTGAGCCAGACACGATGGCGCTGGGGCGCTGATCGTGCTGCATAAAGAGACGTTCGTCGCCATCCTGGAAGGGATGGGCGACCCTAACGTGAACCAGACACGATGGCGCTGGGGCGCTGATCGTGCTGCATAAGAGACGTTCGCCGCCATCCTGAAAGGGATGAGCGACCCTAACGTGAGCCAGACACGATGGCGCTGGGGCGCTGATCGTGCTGCATAAAGAGACGTTCGTCGCCATCCTGAAAGGGATGGGCGACCCTAACGTGAGCCAGACACGATGGCGCTGGGGCGCTGATCGTGCTGCATAAGAGACGTTCGTCGCCATCCTGAAAGGGATAGGCGACCCTAACGTGAGCCAGACACGATGGCACTGGGGCGCTGATCGTGCTGCATATGAGACGTTCGTCGCCATCCTGAAGGGAATGGGCGAGTCGAACCGTGAAGCCAAGTACGATGGCGCTGAGGGGCCGATCGCACTGCATAAGACGGTCGTCGCCATCCTGGAGGGAATGGGCGATCGGAACGTGAAAGAGACACGATGGCACCGAGAAGCCGATCGTGCTGCATAAGACGGTCGTCGCCATCCTGGAGGGAATGGGCGGGCCGAACCGTGAAGCCAAGTGCGATGGCGCTGAGGGGCCGATCGCACTGCATAAGACGTTCGTCGCCGTCCTGGAGGGAATGGGGCGATCCGAACGTGAAAGAGACACGATGGCGCTGAGAAGCCGATCGTGCTGCATAAGACGGTCGTCGCCATCCTGGAGGGAATGGGCGAGCCGAACCGTGGGACACGATGGCGCTGAGGGGCCGATCGTGATGCATAAGACGTTCGTCGCCATCCTGGAAGGGATGGACGAGCTGAACGTGAGCTGGGTACGATGGCGCTGAGGGGCCGATCGTACTGCATAAGACGGTCGTCGCCATCCTGAACGGAATGGGCGAGCCGAACCGTGAAGCCAGGTACGATGGCGCTGAGGGGCCGATCACACTGCATAAGACGTTCGTCGCCGTCCTGGAGGGAATGGGGTGATCCGAACGTGAAAGAGACACGATGGCGCTGAGAGGCCGATCGTGATGCATAAGACGTTCGTCGCCATCCTGGAAGGGATGGACGAGCTGAACGTGAGCTGGGTACGATGGCGCTGAGGGGCCGATCGTACTGCATAAGACGGTCGTCGCCATCTTGAAGGGAATGGGCGAGCCGAACCGTGAAGCCAGGTATGATGGCGCTGAGGGGCCGATCGCACTGCATAAGACGTTCGTAGCCATCCTGGAGGGAATGGGGCGATCCGAACGTGAAAGAGACACGATGGCGCTGAGAAGCCGATCGTGATACAGAAAAATAGTGATGATCATCTCATGGCCCTCGGCCTGTCGGTGAGTGGTAATCGTCTCACGGCCCTCGGCCGTGCTGGCGATGTGTCAAGTCTCTATCCTGATTGGCTGTGAGAAGCCGATTGTCTACCAGGACTCCATCCGGGAAGGAATGGTGAGCCTGAAATAAATCTGGGCGATGTCCCTTCTACCTGATCTGGGGGGCTAATCGTCGTTTGAGGCAAAAGAAAACCTGATGTTAGCCGATCGTCGTCGGCCACTTCATTCTTCGTACTTAAGTTTTGTAATTATTCTTTACATATGTTTTTCAGTTTGTACTTCCCGGCCAATAGCGCCGAGGGATAAAATCATTCTTTGCTCCGTGCTCTTCTGGCATCTTTTTTTTTTTGGAGTCTTTTAGTCTTCTTTCGTCCTTGGTTCTTGGTCCTACCAGCGTCCTTACTTCAAAGAGACGTCTGGTATCCTCGAAACTCGCAAGGAGGAACAGGTTTATCTACATCGAGATTCCCCCTTTTTTTGTTCGTCCGTGGTCCTTTTAGTCTTACCGGCATCTCTTGCTTCGAAGAAGACGTTCGGTACCCAAGGAACTCGCAGGGACGAACTGGTTTACCCTCACGGGTTCCCGACTTTGTTATCCCACGTCCATCGATCCATGGTCATTGTGGGATAAACAGGTTTATCTTGGCAAAGCTCCCTTGGTTCGTCTAGCCCCCTCCGCGTCTCTACTAACCTCTACATCGAGAGGCGTTCGTCTTCGGCGGTGGGAGAAGATCTGGCACGCCCGGGCAAGATTCCCTTCCACATAGGAGCTACCCTCCTCTTCTCCCCATCTTTTTTTTTTTTGTTTTTTTTTTGTTTGAGGGAGGCAATCTATATTCTTCGTTCGTCCTTGGTTCTTGGTCCTACAGGCGCTCTTGCTTCGAAGAGACGTTCGGTATCCGCGAAACTCGCAAGGAGGAACGGGTTTATCTACATCGAGATTCCCTAGCTCTTCTTAGTTCGTCCCTGGTCTGTGGTCCTACCGATCTTCCTACATCGAAGAAGACATTCGGTATCCAAGAAACTCACAGGGATCACGGGATGTCACACATAATGGTGGTGGCATAGCGAACGAATATAATGATGAGGCGATAGAATAGCTTGTCGTCGTGCGAAGGCGATGGTCACCCTCCTGGAGGGGAGTCGTGAGCCCGATCGCAAACTCAAGAGGGTCGGCATAGGGAGCCGACAAACAATGATCATAATGTCGCTGAGCAGTCGGTCCTGATGAGGAGATGGCAATAGTGTCCGGTCAGGCCGATATATCCGAGCAACGGCTCTCATCCACGCAGCGCAGGGATGAAACCGGTCTTCAAATATGATGGTGGCACCGTACCAGGAGGTCGGTGGCCATGTATGACGTCGGCGCTGGGGCCGATCCAAAGAGAGATAATCAGCGGCCCTCATCCGCGAGGAGCGGGGACGAGGCCGTTCTTCAAGTATGGAAAACACGCCGAGCCGGGGGGCCGGTCGTGATATAATGATGTCGGCAATGAGAGGCCGATCTGACAGAGCCAAGCAACGGCCCTCATCCGCGAGGAGCGGGGACAAGGCCGGTCTTCAAAAGATAAGCACGCCGAGCCGAGAGGCCGGTCGTGGTATGATGATGTCGGCGATGAGAGGCCGAACATGATGTGGCAGTGTTGGCAATGAGGGGCCGACCTGCAATCCAGCAACGGCTCTCATCCGTGCAGTGAGGGGACGAGGCCGGTCTTCAAATATGGAAAGCACGCCGAGCCGATAGGCCGGTCGTGATATAACGGTATCGGCAATGAGAGGCCGATCTAAGAAAATAAGCAACGGTCGTCATCCGCGAGGAGCGGGGATGAAACCGGTCTTCTAATATGGGAAGCGCACCGAGCCGGGAGGTCGGTCGTGACATAATGGTGTCGGCAATGAGAGGCCGACATGAAAAAACCAAGCAACGGTCCTCATCCACGCAGCACGGGGACGAGGCTGGTCTTCAAAAGATGAACACGCCGAGCCGAGGGGCCGGTCGTGGTACGATAATGTCGGCAATGAGATGCCGATCAAGATATGGTCAAACAACGGTCCTCGTCCGCGAGGTGGCGGGGACGAGGCCGGTCTTCGAATATGATAATCACGCCGGTCCGAGAGGCCAGTCGTGATATAATGATGTCAGCGATGAGAGGCCGACCTGAAAGAAATCCAGCAACGGTATTCGTCCGCGCAGCGCGGGGACGAGGCCGGTCTTCGAATATGATAATCACGCCGGTCCGAGAGGCCGGTCGTGATGTAATGATGTCGGCACTGAGAGGCCAACCTGAAAGAATCCGGTCAACAGTCCTCATCCGCGCTGCGCGGGGACGAGGCCGGTCTTCTAAAGATAAGCACGCCGATCCGAGAGGCCGGTCGTGATATAATGATGTCGGCGATGATAGGCCGACCTGAAATCCAGACAACGGTCCTCATCCGCACAGTGCGGGGATGAGGCCGGTCTATAAATATGATGAGCATGTCGTGCCGGGAGGCCGGTCGTGATATAATGGTGTCGGCAATGAGAGGCCAACCTGAAATCAAGCAACGGTCCTCATCCGCGCAGTGCGGGGACGAGGCCGATCTTCAAATATGATGATCATGTCGTGCCGAGGGGCCGGTCATGATGTAATGATGGCGTCAGACGGCCCTCGGCCGTGACGATCTCTTCTAGGCCCTCGGCCTCTGAATGACGGGTGATCGTCTCACGGTTCTCTGTCATGGCATTCGCCTCTAGACCCTCGGCCTCTAGGTGTTCTTCCTAGGCCATCGGTCTCTGGGGTGGAGATGCTCGTCCAACGGTTCTCGACCGTGGTGGTCTCCTCTAGGCCCTCGACCTCTGGGTGGAGATGCTCGTCCATCGGCTCTCAGCCGTGATGGTCTCCACTTTAGCTGGCCCTGAACGTCTTCAAGACTCGGGCCGAGCGTCTTTTAATCTTTTGCTCGAGTGCATCAAGCGACCTTGACTGCATAACTAACATGGTAACGGGCCGTTCGGCCCGACAATATATACACATATAGCCATCTGTGTGGCCTCCTTTTTTCAACATCCACGATTACCGGCCTATGGTTATCGCGACCCTCGGCCCGGCTCATCGTGCGGGGTTGTTGGACGTAGCAGCTTGCGGCGGGGCCTTTTAGCAGCCTGCCGAACGTCCCATAAAAATACTCATCGGTCTGTGAGTTTTCAAACTCAGACCCAAGCTGGTCGCACTATCCTCGGCAAACGAGGTTGAATGCTTGGGTGCCCTCGGGCCCCACAGGCCGCGTTTGGCAATAGTCACTTTGCGCCTAGCGGCACAGATGATACTAGGATACAATCGTCGACCGGGCACTTGGTGTCGCGCGGACTAACGCGTAATCCCCAAATAGAAATGCGTCGTCGGGGCACTGCCCCCTGCAGACGCTCGGATCGCTTAATCAAGCTGATCGAGAGTGGGCCATCGGGCCCTCAAGAAATTAAATATTTAGTAAAATGTTAGCTGAACTAACCATCACTTGAGCCTCGCTCAGCATTATTTAATTCGGGACATTTTATCCCTAATAAATAATAGTGATATAACATGTAATAGCAATGATATTATCCTATCAAAGGCCACTCAGGTATGCTCCGTTCGCTAACTAAAGCCAAACCGGAGTGGGCCCACAGGCTCACAACAACCAGTCATTAAATTTAAATGACGGTGAAACTAATTATCACTTAGAGCATCGCTCTCATTACTTAATTTCGGGAGTTTTACTCCCTAATAAATAATGGTGATAAAAATACTAGCAATATTAATCATGTTGTATTATTCTAATACGTCAATAACTAGTAAATTGAGTTAGTGGCACTTAGCTTTTGGAGATGAAGCTTCGGCCAGCTGGATTGGAGATAAAGCTTGGTCAATTCTTCCATACACTGGCCTCACGTTACTTGGTCCCAAATTTGCGGACGTGGTTTGCCGAGGGCCATATACGTTATATACGGTGTATCTTCCAGAGAAGGCAGGTGGAGTACCCTTCTAACCACTAGGACGCAGCTTGTATGCCGGCCACTTTTTGCCGGTGGATATGGTGGTCGCAGCGCAAGGACAACTTTTGTGGCTAGGTTCTGGCCCCCTCCCTGAGCTCTCAAGTTGCGTCGGCAGGGCGGTGGAGGCTCTCACGGTCTCACAGACCCGGATTCTCGGACCAGGTGGAGGATTGGCTTGCGGTTGGTTCCTGACGGCGAGCAGCGGCGCGGGACTTTGCGAGTGTAGGTAGCTGCGCGCGACGGGCTACCGTGTTGCAGGTGTCGCGAGATCTTGGGCGCCGCAGCGAGCCTCTTCTGCCGCAGGTGAACACAACGGCGGGTTCACGGCGGTCAGGGACAGTGACGGCGGCTCCGGCGGCCCCGGTCCAGCACTGAGAAAATTCCGAGTTTCACTTCCAAACTTCTTAGCTTTTCCCCTCTTTCCTTTTCTGAAGATCCAGATCTAAATCCCAGATCCTTCTACTCATATCATCTTCCTTTTTGGTGAACACAGTTGAATCTTTGAATAAATTTGTAGAACAACATGAATCTTTTTGAACAAGATTCCCACAGACGGCGCCAGTGTTGAGTTTAATCCAACACGATATAGTAAATATATGTATAAATGTGTATGAACAAGCTATTTTTACGTGGAAACCCAAAAGGGAGAAAACCGCGGGACTTTTTAGGCTAATGTCCAAGCCTTCTCTTTCTCATTAGGACTCTCCTCACCATTACATAGTACAATTTGAGCTCCCCTTAATGGAGTATTGTAAGCTAGCTAGAGAGAAGGGAGAAGAATAAGCTAAGGAAAAGGGAATCAAAAAGGCTCCCTAAACATGGAGGGAAAACCTCCTATAAATAGGGAATAGGGGGAGGGAAGTACTCCACCCTAATGGGCCAAACGGGCCGATGTCGGGCCCAATGGCCAAAGCGGGCCAGAATGGGCCGAAACGGACCTAGCTGCTCGGGCTCCGTACTGGATAATGTCTTGGGCTCCTGAACAGTAATAGGCCGGGATAATATATCCCAACACACATATTATATTTTTAGCTAAGTTCCAGCATCTTATTCAACTATTCAAGTTCCAGCATCAAATAGGTACATGAACTAACTTAAATTGTTCAATTAGCCCCTTATATAGGAGGTTCTGCCCGGTCGTCGCCAATTGGGGCGGTTCCCGATGGAATTTTTTGATGAAATTTTTTGAGCATCTTCTTCATTAAGTCTAGTTTACTCATACCAAATTTCAGCTAAAAATGAAACCGGGAAGGCAGTCAAATGATTTTCTGAAATGTGTTGCGCTGTTTAACTGCGCAGTTATCTTCAAAAAATCATTTGACTGCCTTCCCGGTTAAATTTTTAGCTGCAATTTGATATGAGTAAACTAGACTTAATGAAGAGGATACTCAAAAAATTTCATCAAAAACTTCCACCGGGAACCGCCTCAATTGGCGGCGGCCGGGCAGAACCTCCTATATAAGGGGCTAATTGAACACTTTAAGTTAGTTTATGTACGTATTTGACCCTTTAGCCAAAAAATTAATTAACGAAATTTGAGTCGGCTCGATTGCACCTCTGCTTCCTGGAAATGGAAAATGATGTTTGTACCCACTTTTATACCCACTTTTGTACCCACCCATGTTTGTGAAGTTATTTTTTTTTTGTCCGTGAATTCCTTCACAAACACAATATGTCTGTGAAGAAATTCAAAGACATATTTTGTCTGTGAACCGGCTTCACAGACAAAAAAATAGCCTTCATAGAGGTGGGTATAAGGTGGGTACAAAGTGGTGGGTACAACAAGCATGGTTGCCTGGAAATTACCAACTGCTTTCTTTGGAAAAAATAACACGAAATGTCAAAGGTAAAGAGAATAATCACAAAATCGTTGTTACGCACACCTGGCGTGACTGAACCGGAACAAATACTCAGAGGGGAAAGAGAGACGATGAGAGAGAGCGCCGGAGTTGTATCGGAGGCAGGGCAGCGTCTATTACCCAGTACCGACGTTAACAATAACCACAGTCGAATCTCTCATGCCCCACCGCCGACTGATCGCCCCGTTCGCGTGTATGCCGACGGGATCTACGATCTCTTCCATTTTGGTCATGCTCGCTCCCTTGAACAAGCTAAAAAAACGTGCGTCTCTTCATTCTTTCATTTTATATGGTCACGCACTGGTGAATTTGTATGCATCTCCCCCTGTTTGTTGTTAATCATTACCTCATTCACTAATCAAACGCGAATACAATCATGAACTTGATGCTCGTAGCTTTTCCAACACGTACTTGCTGGTGGGATGTTGCAGCGATGCTGTCACGCACAAATTCAAGGGTAAAACTGTTATGACCGAGGACGAGCGCTATGAATCCCTCCGCCATTGCAAGTAAGATCTTAATTATATAGCGGATTTGTTTGCTTCACCTTTATACAAAAGTCAACCTTAGAGTTGAGTTTCAAGTTTCAACCACTTCTCCATATGCTCATATGCATTATGATCTGTCAGAAACTTGGAATGAAACCGACTGTTACATCATCTGAATGTCACTATTGATTCTGTTTGCTGGATCGCATTCTTCGTGGATAAAATGGTATGTACGCTAAAATACCTTGCTTCTTTGATCTTTAGGTGGGTGGATGAAGTTATTCCTGATGCCCCATGGGTGATAAATCAAGAATTCCTAGACAAGCATCGAATTGACTTTGTGGCACATGATGCTCTTCCGTAAGACTTTTTTTTCCATTTCAGTTAATGTTCTTATCATTAGTGTCTAGTAGATTTCAAATTTATTTTCACATCCATTTTCACTGCGCTGTTTATACCTTTATAAATTTCCTAAGATCTTGGTTATTTGAACATCTTACAGTTATGCTGATGCTAGTGGAGCAGGAAAGGATGTCTATGAATTTGTATGTGTCTTTCTACGCAGATATTCGTAGTGTTTCCATTATTATATTTTCAAGTGTATCAAATAAGGAGGGAACGAAGTCGCTACCTGTCTTGAGCTCTATGTTTCTTCAAGGTGATGGGCATCAGACTTTTTTAATGTAGATTAGTTGCTTCAACAGGTCAAAGCTGTTGGTAGGTTTAAAGAAACAAATCGTACTGAAGGAATTTCTACTTCTGACATTATTATGAGGATAGTTAAAGACTATAACCAGTATGTCATCCGCAATCTGGATCGTGGATATTCAAGAAAAGAACTCGGTGTCAGCTATGTTAAGGTATGATCCTTTTGTGCTTTGTATTACTGCATTGTTTCATTCCATTAAATAGATGTTATCTAGGAATTGTTTTATTCAATGTTTTTTTTTTCTCTTTTTCTTTTTTTTCTTTTGCTTTCTGCAAGAACTGAGAAGTAATTGTTTGTGGGAGCAGGAAAAACGCCTTAGGGTGAACATGAGATTGAAAAAGTTACAGGAGAAGGTTAAGGAACATCAAGAGAAAGTTGGAGAAAAGGTATAATTCTATAGAGCTAATTCCCTACATATGCACTACACATGTCTATTTTACTTTTACATGGCACATAACCATAAGTTCTCTTTGCTCCATGCGTTTCATGTTAATAAGGATGTGTGGAATAGATTTGGGCTGAAACCATCTCTTTATCGTTTCTTTGACCTTTATTATCTCTACCATATGAAATCACCATTTTCTTTTAAAGATGTGTACTCTTTCCCTGAAAGTTTATGAGATGTGTGATCTGACCTAAGTTTTTATGATGTGATCTGGTGTGAATCTTTCTAGTCTCATTTGGTCCGGGTGTTTTATGTCTAGTTTGATCTAAATCGTTCTAATCTTGTCTAATTGTATCTTTACACATGAGTGGTGATAGTTTTAATGCGTCAGCTCTAACCCCTGATGATATACACAATTTTTACACATTAGCAGATTAGCTCATGTAAGTCCCTTGTGTTATGAATACACGTCATTCATTGGAAGAACAAATTTTACTAATGGCTTAAACAAACTTCTTTGTAGTTATTGTACTTAAGTATCTATATAATACCTGCATGATTAATTATAAAGTTAATGCCATGTGTTTTCATGGCAATTAATTTTGTCGTTCCTGGGTGTTACATTTTTTGAATAACAAGATGAGTTTTGACTTTTGACACATTTTTGTAATATGAGGGCCTGGCGCACAGAATATGGCATTGCGTATATCAGAGTGAAGTCCTGGGCATTAAACCCGAGTCTCGATTGAAATCTTCTATCAATCTATCATGAAACATGGTTTTATTTTACTAATGTTACAACTTACAAGCATGTCTCTAATTTACAACTTGTATCTTTGAACTGAAGGATTATGTTGGTAACATCAATATCCTTTTTTTACCTTGGGATGGATGTATAAGAGAACCTCCATTATCTGCATTGTCACCATCATCATCATATTATGGTGTTCTCCATGTAATAGTTTTTGGTGACTAAGCTTATAAATTGGGATTTCTTTTCAGATTCAAATCGTTGCAAAAACAGCTGGTATGCATCGCAATGAATGGATTGAAAATGCTGACCGGTTGGTTGCTGGTTTTCTTGAAATGTTTGAAGAGGGTTGTCATAAAATGGTATAAGCAGAATTCATGCAAAATGTATCTTCGAATTCTGTTTAATTTCACACGGGTAATTGGGTATGGTAAAAGCTGTTTCTGTTATTATTTTTGTATTCATCAGGGAACAGCCATAAGGGATAGAATTCAAGAACGATTAAGAGGTCAGCACCAGAGGGATCTGCTAGAAAATGGGAATGGAGAAGAAGATGATGATGATGATGATGATTACTATTATGATGATGAGGAAGAGGATGAAGAATATTTTGATGAAGATTATAATGACCACAAGCAATGACAGTTTACACGCGAATTTTTCTGTTGTGGTCTAATGTGCCATGTTGTATTATTAATGTGTAATCCAGTCATTGCAGAAGGGTATTATGACCATGAATGCAGATTTTGGAGAGTTTGTGTATCTTTTTCTTTTATAGGCGCCGTATAATCATACAATGGAAAAGAGTCAAGTCCGCTGCTGAAAAGCCTGAAATGTGTGTGTATTATCTTACGGTTACAGTCTTACCGAGGCAAAGTCAGCTTTAATACCTATGTGCTTTCACTAAATTTTCACACATATCAGCTCTGCAATTGATGTTTTGTTTATACGATTGGTTCACACTTCACAACTTCACATCACTATTTCATCATTTATTCATATTTTAATTGTTTAATTGCAATATTTTGATTGACCCGACCGTATGAACAAGATATGGCACTTTAAAAGTACCGTATAATTTGTATTGTTACCATTCCTTTGTTACAATTCCTTCACAAATCATATGTTTAAATGAATTTAGGAAAAATTCGCATAAATAATCTCAACTATTACTCTATTAGTGGTCTTCCGATATTAATCTCAAATATACATAATTCTATAATAATCTCAAGTTCATAAGTGGTGTTCCCAAATTGGTCCAGAATACTTGCAACTCACTTAGCAGGTAAAAGGATAAAAAGTAAAAGAAAAAAGCTAAACAACTTTGCTTGATAGGCTATATTCATCGCAGGTCAGGGTAACAGGCGGTTGGAGATAGAGACAAGGCGGATGAACAGGGATCACGACTATGAAGGAAGGGCCATCTTTGAAGAACAAATAGGGCTGATAGGTGGATGGATGTACAGTCGACAGTGAAGAGCAGTTGTGCCGGACGCCCGGACGACCGATGACGACCGAACATGGACAGACCGGTGTCACTTACCGCCTGAAACACTTTACGCTCCAAATCCAGTCCCAAGCCGGCAAGCCCCCAAGGAAAGAAATGAAATCAAAAAATGGTGAAGATCTCATATTACAAGTCGATTCAGAGTCTCTAGAATTCGAAAACGAGTCCGAGTGAGGGGAAATTCCAATTGGATTTTCCAATTTCATAGTTGAGTAGATGAAATCTACATATGGCTGCCGACTGGAGATAGAAACTTTCCAATTGGATTTTCCATTTTCATAGTTGAGTAGATGAAATATACATATGGATATGACCTAATGACCATAGACGGTTAGTCTGTCAATGCAAAGCTGACCAACGAAGAGAGAAGATATTAAAAGGGAAAGGAAATGGTAAAACAGAAAAGAAAAGGGAAGGACAATGAGTGATGGAGGCAGAGGAAGAAGAAAGATGAAAAAGGAAGAAAAAAGGAAATAAGAAAAGAAAGAAAAATGACCATTAAAAAGATGCCCAGGGTCACCTGATAAATGGGTTCATTCAGGTCACTAGTGTTTTGGGAAGATACTTCTTATAATTCAGATTATTTTAGAATAATACGTATTTGGGATTAATATGGGAAGAATGCTGATAGTTGGGATTATTAGTATGAATTTTTCCATGAATTTATCGTGCTTACTTGGCATTGAAGTGCATTGAGTCTTGGCAGAATGGCAGTGGCATTGAAGTGCATTCAGTCTTGGGAGTGGCATTGTGTTTAATTTATACTACTTTGTCCCTATAATTGTCTCATTTTTCATTTTTAGATGTTCCCCAATTATTGTCTCATATCATACTACGTGTTTGATAACATTTGTGTGGTTCTAATTCATTCTTAATTTATTCCCACCTTATCAACTCATTATTAACCATATAATTCTACTTTTTTAAAATCAACATCATTCTCTTCTATCCCAATATTAGGGGACGGAGGGAGTAGCAATAAAATATTTTAGAATTGTACGGAGTACTAAATATTGGTTGTCATATCACGTAGACTACATAAAAAGTTATTGGCTTACTGCGGTTGACTTTGTAAAAACAAATGTAAATTTTACTTACCCCTTGTCTCATTTTTACTTATTTTTTTTCGTTTTTGGTATTTTTTAAACAAGTGTCACATTTGCTATGTTAGAAAAAATATATAGTCTACAACATTTCACTTTATCATACTCAATTTTCAATCACACTTTTTTAAACCACTTTATAAATAATTGTGTCAAACCAGTACAATGAGTCATTTATTCTTTTTATATAGAATAAGAATATTATTAGAATAAGAATCTTTTGGATAGAGATGTAAATTATATTCTTACATCTATCTCCAATCATTTTAAAATATGAATAAATGATGAAGTTGAGTAGAAATCTGATTTTCCACCCCATTTACAAAATTACACCATATTTACACCATATTTACAAAATCATTAATGTATGCACTTTGTTTAATTAATATCAATTGATTTTGCACTCCATTCTTTCACAATTTTAGGAATGATGAAATGCACACTGTGAAACAAATTTTAAGTATTTACTTAAAATTGATCGCAAATAATAATATGTGAGAATATTGGGTACAATCTCTAAATATGAATCCTCTGATTCTTCACTTGCAATTTGATATAATATAATTAAAGAATTTAATTTAAAATTAAATCTCTAATTCTTCAAAAACTCGAACGTTCTTCGATTCTTCGAATCTTCGTTCTTGAGATCTTCGAATCTTCGAACTTCGTTCTTCAGATCTTCAAATCTTCTTGAATGCAAAATTCAATATTGAAGGGCCTCCGGTTTCAAGTAGCTTGATCTTCAACAAAAGGGCCGTTATGTGGCTTGATCTTCTGTTAAAGGGCTTCCCGGGATATATGGCTTGATCTTCAATTGAATATTGATTCAATCTTCATATGAATATCTTCAAATCTTCAAAGATTCGTTCTTCATATCTTCGAATCTTCAAAGCTTCGTTCTTCAGATCTTCGAATCTTCAAGCTTCGTTCTTCAAGTCTTCGAACGTTCTTCAACTTTTGGCTTTGTTTGATCAAGAATCGATGAAATCACAAAGGATTATTCATATATTCTTGACAAAAACGTGGCTTGATCTCTTCCTCTTCTTCGGAATCCTTCAGAGCCTTTCGGGAGTTCTTCAGAGCTTTGTTGCAGCGTTTCTTCGTCTGGAAGTTCTCCTCCCTTTCTCTCAACTGAGACCCCTATTTATAGGTGTGGAGGAGCTGAAAAATGCTCTAGGGTTCCATGAAATTCGTCCATAGCATTTGGGCCTCAATCAAAAAGGGCTTTGGGCTCTGTTTACTCGCATTTAATAGCTAGAAAAATCAGCACTTGTTTGATGCATCTGGACAGCCTTTTTAACAAGATTCGTAGCTATTTCTCATGCATTTGGACATATTTCTTAACCAGATTCATTGCTTTCTTTAATTGGGTCATGCCTCTTAGGTACTGAGCCACTATTTGATAATGGGCTCAAAAATCAATAGGACCAGTCCATTCTTCTAAAGATTTAATGTATATTTCGAATGATCCAAATTAATTAAATTAATAAATTTTATCCCAAGAAATCCATATCACTATTTTCTTCTTGATAAGGCCCACCAACCATCATCAGCAGTCCAGTTGAATTGACGCTGGCTACAAATCATTCAATAGAGGCCCAAAATGATTGAGAATAGTATGGTCGATTTTAAAGAGGTCCAATAGTCATCACGACTGATTCAATAATTTTAATATGTCCACAAGTGCCCCTCGAGACTTGCTTGAATGTCTTGGACGAGTAAAGTAAGTCTCGACATATCTGACTTGTTTTCTCTTTCGGAATGTACTTCACCAACTTATTAAGCAAAAGCATCCCAAATAAAAGTTGTGTAATAGCTCTAAATAAATTTATAAAAGCACCCCTGAAACTCTTGATTTTGATTTCACTATTAGCGTATAGCTCTAGATACTTGATAGCATTAGACTTTCATTCAGAGAATAAGTTTGAGGAAAAATACGTATGTATGCTTCGTATCTCAAAACTTGGGCAGCCCTTTTCTAATTCAAATATCCAGCCCAAGTCACTTATGGTTGTCAAATTAGATCCCAGTTGAACTCTTATCACCGCCTTAAACACAAGTACACCCCCAGTTGAATTCTTTCTCTCAGTGGGATCCCGATTCATATTCAATTATAAATAGGGGCAACTCCATAGAGCAAGGAACGGCAAAAGGTAAGCTTCTTTTATGTTAATAGTTTTATTCGTCCTGCTTTTGGTGTTTTGCAGGAATAGAGAGCTGCAAAAGACTGGCCACCACCGCAAATTGCTGGTCCTGCCGGCAGCTGGGGCTAATTCGAGATTCCTTTTGCTGTGAGAAGAGAAACTGAATGTTTCCATAGCCGCAATATCTGTCCTGGTGAAATGGTTTGGCCGCCGTTCTTGTTTTATTGCCGGTTCCATCGATTGGGCTTGTGATTTCCGGCGAGGAGGAGAAGTTTGGTCGATCATGTGTTCCGTAGAAGGTGAGCGTTGTTCGCTGCACTTGGAAGAAGGAGAACCGGCAACAATTTTTTTTTTCGGGATGATGATTCCGTCAGGAGCTGAGTTTGTGATATCGTTGGCTAGACTTTTGTAGATGCAGCGGACTGAGATTTCAAGGAGAAAGGAACCCGTCGCTGGTGCCATTCACGGTTCGCTGGAGAGAGGAGATGCCGTTGTTGCAGACTTGGAACTTCGTTTTCTCTGGAAGTCGGTGCTCAGAGGAGGTTGATTTCAGGAAGGAGTTCTGCAGGCAGATTCTTCCGGAGCTGTAGCGTCTGCTCTTATTCTTGCCGCTAATGCAGATTGAAGCTTGAAAGCTATTTGGTGTTTGGAAGCTAGTTGGTGTTGGAGAAGATGCCGATGCCTCTTGCCGGACTGCTCGTGTTGGAAGCTAGTTGGTGTTCGGAAGCTAGTTGGTGTTGGAAAAGACGTTGCCGCCTCTTGCCGGACTATTCGGGTTGGAAGCTAGTTGGTGTCGGAACTCGGAAGCTAGTCGGTGTTGGAAAAGACGCTGCCGCCTCTTGCCGGACTGTTCGGGTTGGAAGCTAGTTGGTGTCGTTGTTTGAAGGCGGTACAGGAGAGCTAGTTGGTGTTTGGCAGATTGCTGGGGTCGGATGCCGCGGAAGCTAGTTGGTGTTGACGACAGTGCTGGCCAGAGTAGAATTCTTCCGGCGCTGCTGCAGTTGGAGGTGTGGCTGATGTTGTGCCAGCTCCTAGGGGAAGCTTGGTGCAGTGGTGTGGACGCCAAGAATTTGGGGAAGACGCTGAGCCTGATTTTTGTTGCAACCGCCGTTTATTGGGCTGAGACGATGTTGTCGGTGCTATTGCCGTCGGAAATTGATGCCAGAATCCGTCCATTCAATCGCTGGTGGATGGTCGCTTTGAGAAGAATGTTTGCTGGTGCTATGCCGATTTGTTCACACTGGGGTTCTCACGCTGGTGCAAAAGATGCTGCGGACAGAATAGATCGATCGAGGAAGATGATGAGACCAATTTCATCGCTAGAGTCATTCGTTGGAGATGCTGATTCGTGCTTATGTCCGCCGGCAAGCTCGATCAATTTTGCCGTTCCGTGAGGATGATCTGCGGCTATTGCTGGAGAATGAAGTCGGATGTTGCTGTGTATTTGCTAGAGCTCCCAACTTTGCTTTTTTTTTCCTGATATTTTGGGCCATTCTCAAATCTCAAAACGGATATATCAAAACAATGAGGTGGTCTAATTTAGATGCTTGGGAATTTTATTATTCGTTTTAAGCATTTTTTTAGACTCTTTTTTTTTCGTTTTTAAAACAATGCCCCTTTTCTCTCTCTCTCTTTTCTTTAAATGCAGGGACAATCAAATCAGAGCTGCTTTACGTATATACTGCATTAGTTGTCCACTTGTAGGAGAAATTAGGAGCTCAGTATTCAGCCATTTCAAACGACTTGAACATGGTGCCATTCAGTGAAGAAGAAGAAAGAGCTTGGTCGGTTGCCGACTGTCAATCGTCGATGGTGCTTAGCCCTTTGTTGGGATGACAACGATTTAAAGAATTAGGCCGATTCCCGATTGTCGGCGCCGCTTAGCCCTTTGTTGGGATGACACCGATTTAAAGAGTTAGGCTGATTCCTGATCGTTGTTGCTGCTTGGGGCCCTTTGTTGGGTTGGTGGCACCGTTCTAAAGAATCGAGCCGATTTTCTCTTGGGGCTCTTTGTTGGGTTGGTGGCACCGATCTGAAGAATTTTGTTGAAGTCATGTAAATACGAAGCCGTATCGATGCCATTTATGAAGGGCGGCTATTTTGCCATTTTAAGAAAAGCGACTACTTCGCCGTTGATGAAGGGCGGCCATTCCGCCATTTATGAAGGGCATCCATTTCGCCGTTTATGAAGAGTATCTATTTCCTTGTTGATGAAGGGCGGCCATTCCGCAGTTTATGAAGGGAAGCCGTTTCGCCGTTTGTGAAGGGCGTCTATTTCCCCGTTTATGAAGGCTGAAACGCCGTCACTTTCAACATCATTGAGACAATGGCGCAGATAGAAGATGATGTTCAAACCTAAGTTCAATCAACTTTCGGTGAGGAATAGACCTGAGAATTCCACTTCTTGGTATGACTTTGAAATTGAGGAGATTGCAAACATTTTTCATTATCCTTTTGCTGATATTCTCCTTAAAAAAAACTTAATTGGTGTGTGTGTTGTTATAACTGAACTCAAAAATGAAACTTTTGAGCTGCCTACGTACTCCTATGAAGGAGATCAAGTCAAACGTAGTTCATAGGTACCATTTGAATTGGTAATCTAAAAAGAGGTGGGGTACCGTACACATTTTAAACTCTCGTGGGCCAAGAGTATCTATGATTATGCTCACCCATAGACAAAGTGAGATGTTTTAGCAGTTTAGCCACTTACAACATCATTGGTGGTTTAAGCCTTTCAACACTTTATTTGACATATATATACCCCAACATCAAGGGTACTGAATCTTCATATTGGTCTTCATATTGACCACGGGTGTGCACAATGGTCACTGGCTTGACTTTGAGTCCACTTCCGTAGGTTACCTTCACATCGGTTTCTCGTTTCATACGAGGTGGGATAGAACTTCTATGCCTTTTAAGACTTTGCTTTCTGGAAAGAACTTTAGCAGATTTATTGTCTATATGTTCCAATCCCAATCTTTCGTGAACATGCTTTCTTTCGAAGTTTTGTCCCATGCATGGGTCTTCAGCGTGCTTCGTCATTATCGGGCTTGTTCCAAGCTGTTCTTCTAAAGTTTTCTTCATAACTTTCTTTGCCTTCAGACCCATTGCATCGAAGATGGCGGGCCTTGATCTTGCCCCCTCAATATGCTCAAAGACAGAGCACTTTAGTTTGGTAGTCACTTCATCTTCTTCATCGGCACTGATATGATGTATTGCGGCTCTATTTATGAGGATCTTTATAGGTTTAGGTTGAACGTAACCCAATCCAACCTGCCCTCGTGCATTGATTTGCTTCAGTGTTCCCTCTCCACCAGCTTCTGGAATGAGCTTCCCCAACTTCCATTCGTTAGGATTATACCCAACTTTAGCAAGAAGTTTATATGCGTTTGGATCAAATCCTTCATTTGTACGCACCTTGGGGAGATCGTATGTCTTAACATCATCTTTTCTCTTTACTTCCTCCTTACGTGTGCTCCGAGGAGGCTTCAATATTTCAATCTTTGCAAGAGGGAATGTAAGCCCTTCTACGCCTTCAACAAGCTTTCCTTTCAGCTTTGGTTCAATCAAGGGGCGATATTCTTCCTCTTGTCTAGCATTGTCATCTTTAGAAATTTTGGCCTTTAGGTAAAACTTCGCATCTGCAAAGTGTGTCTCGGCTTCTGTGAATGGAGTTTCATCGGCCACTACCTTCTTTACAACGCCATTTTGCTCATACATGAAGCATTGGTGCCATGTTGAAGGGATTACACCGTTCTCATGGATCCATGGGCGTCCTAGAAGGAGATTGGATGAAGCCTTTGCATCAATCACATGGCATAGAGTGTTTGCCTTCAGTCCGTCAATGATCAAATCAAGACGTATCATTCCAATCGCCCTTTGCCCCCCTTGATTGAAGCCTTGAATCATCAAGCGGCTTTTGGAGAGTTCATCCATTGATATATCAAGGTCTTTCATAGCTCGAACCGTCAGAATGTTAACGGCAGACCCTTGATCAATCATTATTCTTTTGAATCTTTGTCCACGAGTGTATCCTTCAACAAAAAGCGGACGGTTATGGGGAGTAGCACCCAACATGCGATCTTCGTCTTTAAAGATAATGTCAGTGACGTATGAAGTAGATTTTTGTGCTTTGATCACTTCTTTCTTAGTCAAAACTAGAGATGGACATCCACTTGAACTCTCAACTTCTTTTTCATGGGTGCTAAGACAAGAGCTTGAAATTTGAGTCATCTCGTTCTTGAAATCCTTTGGCATAAAATCGTTGAGAGTAATCACCCTTCGTGCAGTCTTGGAACGAACACAATCCTTCTTTTGTTTCTTTTGCTTTAACTTGTTTATCGGTTGTTTCGTGACCCAATTCTTTACCACCTTTCTCAGTTGTGGCTTAGGTGTGTGGTTCTTCTTTTGTTTCTTTCGAGTTACCAAGGTCCACGATCTTCCTTGGTCATCAACATCCTTAAGTGCCATTCTTTTAGTGAGAGGAAGACATTCTTTCATTTCCTTGACAGTAAAAGGGAGCTTATGCTTGTGAGAATTTGGGTTATTGTTGACCATGAGCGGAGCAAACCTACCAAATGTAATATTGATTTGGTTTGTGCTTGCGGCAGAATCAGCTAGTTCAATCTTTCCTTCGCGGGCTAAGGCCATAATTTTATCTTTAAGCACCCAACACTTCTCAGTGGGGTGACTTAAAATTCGATGATACTTGCAGTAGTTGTGGTCATCAACCTTTGTAGCTTCCTCGGGTCGTTTGGACTCGGGCAAATCTATGAGCTTCAATCTCATCAGTTCCTCAAACATGGGAGGAACGTCAGAGTCTAAGAAAGGGTACTTCTTTTCCAACATCTCTTCTAAAAATGGTTTAACACGTTTTGACATTTCCAAGTCAACCTTAGGGACTTGTTTTGAATTTTGAGTGAAGATCTTAACAGGTGCAACCTTCGCGACCATTGCTTCTTTCTTTTCAAACTTGGAAAAAGGCTTGCCCCCATTCTTGGTATCTTGTTTTTCAACAACATCGTTGATGGGACATATACCCATGGTTTTCCTTCTACTGCTTGCAATGCTTAGTTCCATGTTACGAGCTTTGCTTGCTAGCTCGTCAAAAGTATTTGGATTCACTCCTTTAAGAATGTAGCACAACTCCCAATGCATTCCTCCTATACACATATCGATGGCAGAGCTTGTAGAGATCTGATCTTTACTGCTGAGGGCGAGATCTCTCCAACGTTCTATGTAAGATATCACAGGCTCATCTTTCCATTGGCGAGTAGTAGTCAACTCGAGCAAACTCACCACCCTCCTTGTGCTATAGAAACGGTTTAAGAACTCATGTTCCATATCTTGCCAGTTGTCAATGGAACCGGGCTCCAGGTCAGTATACCAGTCGAAAGCGTTTGCTTTCAGGGAACGTACGAACTGTTTGACCAGATGATCTCCGCTTGTTCCCGCATTATTGCAAGTTTCCACGAAATGGGCAACATGCTGCCTTGGATTTCCCTTCCCATCAAACTGAATGAACTTCGGCGGTTGGTAACCAATAGGCATCTTTAGATCCTCAATCCTTTGAGTGTATGGCTTAACATAGGAGTAAGTAGATTTGTTTCCTTCTATCTTCCCTTTTATGGTTCCCATGATGAAGTCTTTAAGTTGATCAATCGGGATCATGCCCCCAGAGGTTGAGATATCCTTCCCCGAATCTTCTTGGTGAGGATCATTCTCTTCATGCATTTCAGGATCCTTTTCATGAGTATGACTTGACTCACCTTTCAAGCTTTCTACTTTGTTGTTCAGATCATTCAACTTTTGTTCTTGAGATTGCATGAACATACTCATCCCCTCGATGACCTTAGTTAGATGGGCGATTTGTTCTTCCATAGATGTGGTGCTTGTCGTCATAGTGGGCATCACAGTGTAGACGTTTGACCACTGTGCAGTAGTTCTTCGTGGAGGAGTTGACGGGGGAGTAGAGTCTGATCCAGATGATGAGCTCTCACCACCACTTGTCCATTTTGGGGAAGTAACTTCACGTATGGGGGAAGAAAACTTCCGGGCCATCTCTTGTGCAATTTGAGATCCATCCATTGCACTGGGAGTAGTTCTCGAGGATGACTGCGCAACCAGGATTCTTGATCGGCTCCTAGTGATAGGGCCTTGCATGTTTTGATTTGAGCTTGACGATGCTAGAGAATTCAAAGTGAACACGGGCTTGCTTGATGCCATTGGTTCGTTTTCCCTTGATCAAAAGTGAAGAGATGAGAGGTAGAGTTGTCCCACCGGGCGTGCCAAAAATTTGTGAAACAAATTTTAAGTATTTACTTAAAATTGATCGCAAATAATAATATGTGAGAATATTGGGTACAATCTCTAAATATGAATCCTCTGATTCTTCACTTGCAATTTGATATGAATATAATTAAAGAATTTAATTTAAAATTAAATCTCTAATTCTTCAAAAACTCGAACGTTCTTCGATTCTTCGAATCTTCGTTCTTGAGATCTTCGAATCTTCGAACTTCGTTCTTCAGATCTTCAAATCTTCTTGAATGCAAAATTCAATATTGAAGGGCCTCCGGTTTCAAGTAGCTTGATCTTCAACAAAAGGGCCGTTATGTGGCTTGATCTTCTGTTAAAGGGCTTCCCGGGATATATGGCTTGATCTTCAATTGAATATTGATTCAATCTTCATATGAATATCTTCAAATCTTCAAAGATTCGTTCTTCATATCTTCGAATCTTCAAAGCTTCGTTCTTCAGATCTTCGAATCTTCAAGCTTCGTTCTTCAAGTCTTCGAACGTTCTTCAACTTTTGGCTTTGTTTGATCAAGAATCGATGAAATCACAAAGGATTATTCATATATTCTTGACAAAAACGTGGCTTGATCTCTTCCTCTTCTTCGGAATCCTTCAGAGCCTTTCGGGAGTTCTTCAGAGCTTTGTTGCAGCGTTTCTTCGTCTGGAAGTTCTCCTCCCTTTCTCTCAACTGAGACCCCTATTTATAGGTGTGGAGGAGCTGAAAAATGCTCTAGGGTTCCATGAAATTCGTCCATAGCATTTGGGCCTCAATCAAAAAGGGCTTTGGGCTCTGTTTACTCGCATTTAATAGCTAGAAAAATCAGCACTTGTTTGATGCATCTGGACAGCCTTTATAACAAGATTCGTAGCTATTTCTCATGCATTTGGACATATTTCTTAACCAGATTCATTGCTTTCTTTAATTGGATCATGCCTCTTAGGTACTGAGCCACTATTTGATAATGGGCTCAAAAATCAATAGGACCAGTCCATTCTTCTAAAGATTTAATGTATATTTCGAATGATCCAAATTAATTAAATTAATAAATTTTAGGAAAAATGGAAAATAATAATCCAACCTTTTAGCGGTCTTCTTATAATAATCCAACCTTTTGATTATTCATGAATAATCCAACCTTTGCACCTCATCTTCATTCACTGGTCCCTGACCGGCTGATGATCTGCTATTCCAAGCTATTTTCTTATCTTTGCAAATCATTATACCATAAATTTCATCTTTCAAAAAGATAATATTTTGCAGAGATAAGAAAATAACTTGGAATAGTAGGTCATTAACCGACCAGGGACCAATGAATGAAGATGAGGTGTAAATGTTGGATTATTCATGAATAATCAAAATGTGGGATTATTGAAAGAAGACCGCTAAAAGGTTGGATTATTAGTTTTCATTTTATCCCAAGAAATCCATATCACTATTTTCTTCTTGATAAGGCCCACCAACCATCACGAGCAGTCCAGTTGAATTGACGCTGGCTACAAATCATTCAATAGAGGCCCAAAATGATTGAGAATAGTATGGTCGATTTTAAAGAGGTCCAATAGTCATCACGACTGATCCAATAATTTTAATATGTCCACACACACATTAATGATTTTGAAAATTTGACAAAGTTCAATATAATCTTAAATGGGATGGAAAGACAAATTTCCACTTTATAGTTGTCATTAATATTATGTAGTTATAGTCTGTGCCTGGATCGAGCTCTATTCATGGATTACTTGATGCCGCTACTTGCCCTGCTTTTATTGCTTCTGTCTACCACCCCAAGTATCGCCGCTAAGAAGCGGCCGCCGTGCGATTTCCCGGCGATATTCAACTTTGGTGACTCGAATTCCGACACCGGCGGCCTGTCAGCAGCTTTTGGTCAGGCAGGGCCGCCGCATGGACAGACGTTTTTCCATCATCCTGCCGGAAGATACTGTGATGGCCGTTTGAAGATTGATTTTATAGGTAAATAAATGCTTTTACTTTTCTGATGTTTAATTTAATCTCTACTATATTCAGGGATGGATTTAGGGGGGGCGCGGGGGGCGACCGCCCCCCTTGGACATTCAATTTTTTTTACCATATATGTAATATTTTCATAAAACTTTCATAATTTAATTATATTCGCCCCCCTTAGCTTTTAATTTTCAAAATTAGTATATAGTCTTACATAATGTAATACTTAATTGAAGATTTAAAAGAAGAAACATCTAAAATAATTTACATAACTTAAACAAATAAACAATAGAGTAACTCGTTATTTAAGATTTAGGATACTTATTATATAAGAATTCCTAGTTTTGTAATGTTTAATTATCTTTATTAGATAACAAGTACAAGATTTTGTAAAACATATATCAAACAATATTAAATACTAGACACACTAATTACACAATTTTTAGATCACGTGAAATGAATCCAAAATATAAATATTTATAGACATCAGATTACATAATTCATTTACTTCTTGCTTTCTAAAAATAATTTACTGCATGGATAGATGATAAACTTTAAATTATTATAGAATTAATAAAAAAAATTAAAATATAATATGCACCATATATGTGTGTGTATGTGATGCATATTATTCTAAAAATAACAATCTCATACATACTAGTATACTACTATTGTAATATTAAGAAAACTTCTCATGAGTCACGACTCACGAACACCCTCCTTGGTGGACAAAAATTACAATTCAATAACTGATTCATGAGGTTAAACAATGTAGAAGTTATTAAAAATGTATTGTTTGATGTCTTTGGCATTGTCTAAACATAGAATGTAATAGATTTAAATGCCGGTTGGGGATGTGCAAGTATTAATGTCATTTTTTGAATAAAAATAGCCGCATAGCCCTACAGTAGCAAAAAAAATTCGCCCCGCTACACTAGGGGAAAAAATTTCACCCCGCTACACTAACAAAAAAAAAAATCACCCCCTACACTAACAAAAAATTTCGCCCCCCTTGACTCAAAATCCTGGATCCGTCCCTGACTATATTTATCTCAGTAATTTCAATTTTATGGTTCAGTTATACATGGTATTCATCATCACCATATTTAAATAAGTTGTATTGCATGAAATTTGGTCCGCGGTGAATTTCTGCAATTTGTCGTCGAAGACAGTTGCAAAAATGAAAAAACAGAGGGCCAATAATGAATTGGTGACAGCGGAGAAAGAAGAACCCCATACATGATACAACCAACAATTCGGGCGGGACCCAGCGACATCACATGCGTCGGATATCAACTCTCCACTAAAAGCCTCATCCAAATTTAAAAATTATCTTGTTTTTTAAAGTAAAAAATTTTTCGTGTAAATTTGTATAAATGAAAATTTAGCGATATTTTAAAATAGGATTATCATATTTTATTTAATAATATATATACTTATGTCAAGTTTAGAAAATATCATCATGTTTAAAGTCTATTACCCGAAATAGGACTAAAAAGGTTTGAAAATTCTAAAATAGGACTGTCATGTTTTTATTCCAAAAATAGGACTAATTACTGTCATGTTTTGGCAGTACCAGATTTCAAACATGGCAGTATTTTCCAAACTTGACAGTAATTACTCCTATTTTGGGAATAAAAACATGGCAGTCCTATTTTGGAATTTTCAAACTGTTTTAGTCCTATTTCGGGAACTTTCCCTAATAATTATTCATATTTAGAGATATGGAAATAGTATAGATTTAGTTTGGAATTCACAGAAATTTCATCTCACTAGTATCTTTACCTTTGCCATGCACGGGTTGAAATGATTTTATTTTTTAATTTTACTGACGGAAAGTCATTCATTTAATTGATTATATTGTTGGTTTTTAATGTATATTCTAATTTATTGACTATGTCTTTTTTTTGAACTAATTATCATGTTTGCAGTCTATATTTTCTAATGAAAAGAACATTTTTTACACCTCTCAATTGCATTCAAATGTAATTAATCTTTTCAACCATCTTCTCCTAAATAAAAAAAAAAATCTTCAATGCCTATTTTGTCCATTAAATTTCATATGTGCCTTACTGTTTTTTCATAATTGATTACACCTTTTTGCAATTTATTTAAAAATGGGTGCAGCCAATATTTTTGAAGATATTAGCTCTTATAGGTATTAGATTTTCGCAAATTAGTATTTCGATCTCTATTGTTAAGAACAACATACAATATATAGTTTGTAACATTCCTGTTTTATGCGCCCCTAGAGTTACTAAACTTAACTCAGGTAAGAAAAATTTACCCTTTCTTATTTCTTTTATTAAAGTGTTTCCTATCACATTCCAACAACCTTAATTTTTTTTTTTAATTTTCTAATAAACAGATGAAAAGTTGTACATATTTTTTAATTTCTTAATGTTCTTTAAATATCTGTTTCTTTAAAAGTTCTTTTTGTTAAATATGTGTTCTTACTTAATTGTGTGTACAACATTTTGACCTTTAAGATCAAATTATTAATATTAGAATATATTTTGAATTTGAAAAAGAAAATATCAAAAATAAGATTTTAAAATGGCAATACTTGTTTTACACTTGGAATATATGTACTTTAAATTAATTTATAATAGATTTTTATTACTCATATTTTTGAAATTGAAAAAAAAAATCAAAATAAGATTTTAAAATAGCAATTCTTGTTTGACATTTGGAATATATGTACTTTAAATTAATTTATAATAGCTTTTTATTACTCATAATATCACACCATATATGCATTACAAATAATTTTCAAAATATTACTTTTCACTTATCAATCATAAAAAATAATACTTTTAAATAACTCTAAAAGGCATTCGTATATGTTTAAATTAAAACATAAGTCTAATTAAGAACATCTTTATTACTCTTATTAGTATTATATTAGGAAATTAGAATGTTTCAGGAGATTTATTGTAATCTCATATGGAGTTCTAAAGATTAGGGAGGACTCTTGTTTTTTATTGAATTGAAATTTTCTGGTATGATGTCATTTGATTTGATCTGATTTAGTTAAGTCATATTATCTGGGCATTTTAGCTTTTTTTGCCAAACAGTTTTGCCTCATTCAACTAACAGTGAGAGCTCAACCATGTTTTGGTACCACTTGTTGGGATTCAAGTGATCATTTATAACCTAATATGAGAGAAAATACTTCTAATATTTTCAAGAATAGAAAGAAGAAACTTTACAAACTCTAACATAAAACTCAAACACCTCATAAATCCCTCTAGATATACACACGTCCTTTTGGTTGTGTTTGTGATGACTGACGATAGAAGAGCCAGCTAGGGTGATAAGGCTCTGTATTTATATTCCAATCTCAAGTGGTGGAAGTTTGTGGAAGGCTTCATTTATCAATAATTATGACTAATTTGTAACATATAGTACCATAATTTTATAAAATTAGCAGTTATGGATGCGAAGTATTCAGATTGAGGTCCTCTGTCCAACTGGCAGAGTGCCTTGCGCAACCAGCAATCGGATGGGAAGAAGAGCGCCTCGAGACACGCGAAAAAGTGGACTACAGCAATCTCCCACCGTTGAGCTCTCGATCAGACGGTCTTCCTTGGCCAGACACCTTACCTTGCTGCTAGAGCAAGGCAGAGACTCCGAATCCGTAGTATTCAGTTCTTCAAATGTGTCACACGGCACACAATAGACAGCTCATAAATTTAAAGTTAACAAACCATCCATTATTTTGTTTCGATGTTGAACAAATCATTAACGTTTGTCTTTCATACGTGCTCACGATTGATGTGTATTAGTATTCTTCATCTAAACGTACTAAAATGATCAAAGAACACATTGTAAACTTAATGTTTTAGCCATCTTTTCTTTATACAATGCATGTGATTCTATATATCTATGATCCATCATGTATAGCATTTGTCTAGCTACTTGATTAAAAAACGTAGGCATGTCATTGTTTTGCATCTCTCAACACTTGAAGAATTGAACTGAAGTTTATTCCCAAAGATAGGATAATTTTTTAACTTGTCAGGCAATCCTTGTTTCATTTTCATATTTTGAAGACTTTTGCCTTACATTTACATAATCTTTTTCAGCTTCTCTTCTCCCATTTCTACCCTATCCTGCTACTTTTCTTAATTTCTCTATAATACCTACAAATAAAAGGGACCCTGGAGGGAATATGTCCTTAGGCACTTGGCATTTGTGATTGAAATGCTAATATTCATAATCATATTAGAAAAGTGAATATGAATGAATACGAAGACGAAAGTGGGTGCTCTAAGTTTAAGACAGAGGAGCTGAATAAGGGTTAATAACTTAATATAGATAATAGATGGAGTGAATGGAAAGAGAAAACATTCAAATTTATATTAGCTAGTATTACAAAAACAAGCCATACGATGGAACAACTTAGTTATATAGAAAAATAAAGCCAAGGCATATAAAAGGTAGGGCGCGCTGAAGTTGATTAATTAAATAAATTATATATGGTGGCAGTGATTAACTTGTATTTGGTTGGATGTAATTGCATGCAGCTGAGAGGTTAGGGATACCTTATCTAAGTGCATTTCTGGACGCATTGGGGTCAAACTTCACGCACGGGGCCAACTTCGCGACGGCGGGTTCGACCATCCGACCTCAAAATACAACCCTGCATCAAAGCGGTTTCAGCCCTTTCTCCTTGAATGTGCAGTTTAATCAGTTCAGCGACTTCCATCGCCGCTGGCCTCAGACCATTAAACTCCACAACAACAGCGCCGTGGCTGATGTATTCTCCAGAGCTCTGTACACATTTGATATTGGACAGAATGATTTAACGGCAGGCTACTTCCTGAACATGTCAACAGATCAAGTAAGAGATTATGTTCCTGATGTAGTGGATCAGTTTTCGTCCATGGTGAAGAGTGTGTATGATGATCAAGGGGGGAGACACTTCTGGATACATAATACGGGTCCGGTGGGTTGCCTTCCGTATGTGTTGGTAAGAGCGGGGGAGGTCGACCAGTGGGGATGCGCGGCTGCTTTCAACGAGGTGGCCAAGTATTTCAACAGCAGGCTGTGGCATGCCGTGGTCCAGCTGAGGAAGGATCTCCCACTGGCTACCCTCACCTATGTTGATGTTTATTCTGTCATGTATCACCTCATCACTCATCCCACCCAACACGGGTTTGTGCACCCACTGGAGGCTTGTTGTGGAGATGGGGGGAAATACAATTACAAGAGGGAAATAGGATGCGGAGGGAAGATGAAGTTAGCGAATGGGACGGAAGTGTTGGTGGGAAAAGCATGCACAGACGCATCAAATAGGATCAACTGGGACGGCGTGCATTACACAGAGGCTGCTAACAAGTGGGTTTTCGACAAAATCGTTGACGGAGCCTATTCTCATCCTCCCACCCCCCTCACAATGGCATGCCACACCCATTAGCATGCATAATCGATCATTAGTTTTGTTGTTGTACTTTCTCACATGTTATAGTTAGTATCTACATGCCAACACGTTTGACCTACCTTCTTCCTGAAAGTGTCATGACATCCAACCATAAGGTGTGCTTGACATGATTGATCAGTAGCTAGTTTAATTAAAATTAAAATGATTTCTTTCCTTCTTAGTTCTGCCAGCTTAAAACTCGGTTTGTTTATTCTCTCTCATTGTACCATGAAGTCTATATTTACTTTTGATGTGTCTTGTTTTTCCGATTTTGTGATGGGGTGGGGGTGGGGTGGAGGGTATATGTATTTGAAATATTTTCAAGAAAAAACTTGGTTTCTTTATAGAATGTAGTTCACACTGATTTTTAGTTGCAATAATAAATTGTTTATGATGATGCTCAATACCGTCTTATGCAATGCATGGTTAGATAAGTTTTTTGGATTTATGTCTACTTCGAACCCTTCGGTGTATTTCATGCAACTTGTCTAATTTAAAACATTGCCAACACTTTACATTTATTTAATACAAAATTACAAGTGTGCGATAATTTTGTATTGATAGTGCACTAAATTTGATTTTGTAATATGTTATGGATAGTAAGAAAATCATTTGCACATTTTTGTAAATAGTAATTGTCCCATATAGGTCTAAAAGAAGGGAGAAATTCTTAAATAGGACCATATCTGTTTTATTCCTCAAATAGGATCATATTACTCATATTTTTTAAAGTTTAAACTCCTTTTTGCTCTCCTTCACATTGCCAATTTCTCCTTTTTCCCAGGCTTTTCCACTATGACATTTTGGATTAAGCCTCTTGTTCTGATTTCACTCTCAAATTTGGAAAGCTCAAGTTGATGTGTATCCTAATGGTATACTTGTATGATTTATTCAGATAGAATACACCAACCTGGGTTGGTAATGTGGTTCACTTGATTGGTCACCCACCACTAAATCTTTCCTTTGTGAGATGTCTTGCTCTCCATGAATCTCATTACATTCTCGTGTGGTGGGATGATTAGTCTTGTAGTGTAGGTGATGCAAGTCTTATTCGATTCATCCGATGTAATGAGTACCAACAAAAGCTATATGCGATAGTGTGCAGATTTACCTGTCTAGAGGATTTGGGGTCGATAAACTAGACTCTATCACCGGGTTTACCAAGATATGAAAGCACAAGCTCCCACACCTGGTTTATAAAAAAACATTTCAAGTCCACTATTTATCTCACCCATATGTCTTTCTCAGTCATTTCAATCTTCTCTATTTCATGGCTAAACCAAACAGATGATTACATATTCAACTAGGCAGTCGGCAGTGCACACATTTTGAACAAGAATTCAAAATGATAAAGAAAAGTCATTGCACCTCACAATGTCGTTCCCAAAGTGATACAAATTGAACTCCACTTCTAGTAGGACAACTCCTAGATAAGTAAGTTTTTCGATTCTATTCTGTTGACCCATGCTTAAGGTTTTTCGATTCTATTCAGTTACCCTGTGTTTTGAGTAGATTTTTCAATTCTGCTCCATTGACCCATAGTTCCATTCTTGTATAGCATCAAGCTGACAACTATGACCCATGTCCTTCATATTAGTAAATAAATTTTCCAACATTTCATCTATGACATTGCATTCTGGATGCCTGCGATCTCTTGAAACAAAACATGTATAACCAGAAATATCAATCCAACTGCAACCAACTTCTTTTACTACCCCCTTCTCACGCAGTCCTCCTCTCACACCATTCACGAAGTTCCAATTTCCTTCCTCCGCGTACATATTTGAAATCAGAACATGATAACCCGTCATCCTGCCCCCACCACCCTTGAATTCAAATAACTTGTTAGAAACGATTTTTGCTAAGTCAAAGTTTCTGTGGATTTTGCAGGCAGCAAGAAGGGATCCCCACATTCCAAATGTAGTCTTTTCTTTGCCAAGCCCCTGAAGGAACTTGTACGCTTCAACTACCCTCCCAACCCTTCCTAGCAAGTCCACAACACAAGCATAGTGCTCAAGAGAGGGATCAATCCCATATTCTTTCTCCATTGATTCAAATATTTGAAGTCCTTCATCAACCAACCCAGAGTAGCTGCAGGCGGACAAGATTGCTACGAATGTAATTGCATCTGGTTTGACACTTTGGACCGGAAGAGAATAGAAAAGTTTTAAAGCTTTCTCCCCCATCCCATGTTGACCGTAGCCTAAAATCATATTCGTGTATGTTACAGAGTTCTTCTCTCGTGAGTTCAGAAAAACACTTTCGGCATAGAAAACAGCACCTAATTTAGCATACATGTCTACTAATGCAGAACTCACAAAAACGTTTATGTCCAAAAAGTTGCGAACAGCAAAACCATGGATCTGCTTACCTGCTGTTATACCCCCTAATTGACTACACGCAGGGAGAATTGATGCTAAGGTCACTGCATTTGGATCCTTTCTCTGCTTAATCATCTCCCTGAAGCTGAGAAATGCCTGCTCAATTAACCCATTCTGTGTGTTACCAGCTATCATAGCATTCCATGTCACCTGATCTCTATTCTTTGGTAAGTTTGACTCAAATACTGATTTTGCTTCCTTCATCATGCCAGTCTTGGCGTACATATCTATTAGGTAGCTGTCCATCCCTTCGGATTGAATATTATGTCTCAGAAGATAACCATGTGTCTGCTTACCGATCTCCTTGTCCCTCAAATTTGAAGCTGCCGAAAGTAAAGCAGCAACTGTGATGGCATCAATAGCAAATCCTTGCTTTAGCATATCATATAAGAGCATCAAACCTTCATCATCATTCCCATTCTGCACAAAACAAGAAACCATTGTGTTCCAGGAAACAACATCTCTTCCCTCCATTTCATTAAAGAGTTTAAACGAATCGCCAATACAGTTACACTTTGAATATGTGGCAATGATGGAGTTTTGTAGAACAACGCGTGAAACTAGAGAGCTCTTGACCAAATATGAATGTAGCTGCTGAGTGAACTTCAAATAGTTAAGCTGTGAAGCTGCGTTTAGTGTTAAAAGAAAAGTTACGTCATCGAAGAAAGACGCATTTTCAGCCTCCATAGCTTCAAGAAAGACATCTAATGCTTCTAGAGGACAATTGCTTTGAGCATACCCGCTAATCATGGAGTTTAATGTCTCTACGTTTCTGTCTAAACTAGAGTCAAATATACTCCTTGCTGTGTCAAGGCAGCCAAGCTCAGCATACATTAAAATAGCTGCACTCACGATGAACATATTATTTACAAATTCAGTACCCGATTTTACAAGAATCCCATATAGAATATCGGCAAACCTAGTGTCACCCATTGCAGAAACAGAAGGGAAAATGTTTACAAAACTGATGACAGACGGTTGGATGCCCATTTTAAGCATCAAAACGAAATTTCTTACTGCTTCTAGGAAACTCTCTCTTTTCACATACCAGGAAAACATAGTATTCCAGGAAACCACGCTCCTGTGACGCATTGTATTAAACACCCTTTCCACCAAAACATGATCACTGTCATTTGCTGAGCTCAGACATGTTACATACATGTTCAAGAGAGAATTGTATAGGATCTTGCTAGGGTAAATACCTGAACGAATGATATGGGCGTGTACGGATTTACCTATCAAAAGCTGCTTCAGATCGGCGCAGGCTTTGAGAGTGGAAGAAAAAGTGTATGAATCACAAGTGGATGACAACCCCGAATGTTTCATGCGGGAGTAAAACAGGATCGCTTCACTGGGCAAGTCGTTACAGATGAACCCAATGATAATTGTGTTCCAGAGAACAGTAGTTGGTTTAGGAATTGCGTCGAACACCTCGCGAGCGAGAGTGAGCTGGCCTTCGCGGCAGAGCTGGCTGAGACGGTACCGGATTGTTTTGGCTTTCGGAGGAGACTTGAGCTGTTTGCAGGATTTTGGAGGCGGCGCAGAGGATGGCAGTGAAGGTGAGGAAGGAGAGAAGTCATGGCAGTGGTGGGTGAAGGTGGCGGTGGAGAAGGGGAGGGGGAGAGCTGAAGATGATGAAGAGGGCGACATGCACAGCCGCATTTTGGATTTTATTAACCACCACAGACTTCTCTAACATATCTAGACCGGGTAATGGTCTAATGGACATGGGGCACATGGAGGAAATAGCCTTTTATTTTTATGGACAATATTTTCTCTATTATATGTGCCTCATTTATTTTTAGTTATATTTTTATTACATTAAATCTATTATTTATCTCACAATTAATAAAAGATTATATTTTACTCTTTTTATTGTGTATATATGGATGTACTAACTACTGAGTATAATGTATGAATGAAAATTCATAATAGAAAGGAATTTTCACCCATGTGTGGCACGGGGTGCAATTCGTAATTATTAAAGTACTATATTTATACAGTGTATATAAAGTTAAAAAATTGAATTCCACAATGTAAGTGGTCAGAAGAGCTACAAATTGACATACACTTTTTTGTAAATACAGAGAACTCAGACTCGTTGGTCGTAATGGAGAACTCTCAAGTGAGACATTCATTTTGTACAACCAACAACTCGAGGATAACAAAAGGTAGTTGGTTCCACTTGCAGTCATGTGAAGGAAGATCTTGCATCTCAAAAGAGGAGCCCGTTCCAGCTCTTCTCTAACTTGTCAATGATCACCTTATTCCGTCATTTAATTTCATAGAATAGGAGACCAAATGGATGTACTACCCACTTCTTTGATGAGCTGAGGGGGAATATCCAGTCTCTTCTGAAGCTGCCTCATTTAGAACAATTGTCATTACCCTTCTTCTCTCAGAGTCAATAGCATTTGGTCGAGCTCTTGCAACAGACAGTGAGGAAAAGTACAGAGTCTCCCTCATAATTCCCCTTAAGGAAGGGTCACTTTTGGTGATGAGGGGAACACGGTTAATATTGCATGGCATGCAATGTGTTCATCCCCAAACAAAAAAGTTGGCATCACACTCATTAACATGGCAATAAGTCTTATAATGTTGTACCCCCACTGACAAAAGACATTGCTTTGTGGCAACCTAGCATTCCTCCATCTCCCTGCACCTCTCCAAATCTAAATCACCTGCCTGCCTATGACACAACATCAACAACAATGGATGTCATACCTAGAAGTCCTATTCGCACACCCCACGTGATCATGTAGGCTCTTGTTCACCCGCTGGTCCTTAGCCTCCGTAAGCTTCTTTGTGGCGGAACAGGGTTTTACCTGCCCTCGACCATCAGCAGTGGCGGATTTAGAATTTAATTTTGGAGTGTTCAATACTTTTTTTAAACTAGAAATTTAAATA